GAATCAGCCCTTAAGGCATTCGGATCTGGCTAAGATAACAAAAATATTTAACTGGTTAAAGTAGAATGTTAGAGGTTAGCTGGTGGTTTCTGACTGGTTAAGCATTAGTCCTATGTGACTGTTTAAAGTGAATTGGGTTTCAGTTTGTTTACATAGGAACTCAAAGTGCTGGAGTCATCTCAGCCTACTGATCTCCTAATTGGATGTTTTAAGCTATTTTTGGTTGTTCATAAAACTCAGGTACAGCCAAGTCAAATAAATGCATGGGTCAGAGTACGGATGAAAGAATGCAGAACTTCCCTGCCCTCTGTATGTTCACCAACCTAGAAGCTCCTGATCTCCACTGTTTCTGTTTGTGTCTGGGGGGAGGTTGAAGGTCCCCTTTTATAGTCTTTGTTGATTGAGGCATTGGCTACTGGTGATATCACTCTTCAGCCTCTTTCCTTTTCATGGAGGGTGAAGGACATAATGTTCCAATGCTGGAGTCATGGAGTCATGTTTTCTGATAATAAGCTCCCATTCAGATAACTTATAGAGATATTTTAAGAACTACCTCATTAGCATAAACCCAGATATGGTTGAAAAGGACTTGTCATCAATAACAGAAAAAATTCTATTACCCCATCACACAAGGAATTTCAAGATTTTAGGAGCTGGGGGAAAAAAAAAACTCCAAATACAGGGGACCATCAAAAAGTTCATGGAAAATAAGTATTATGTTTTCCTTCCATTTTTCCACAAATTTTTTGAAGTCCCCTTATGCGTTCCTTGTTAAACCCCAGAGGGGAATTCAGACAGAGCATAGGACTCTCCCTGAGTTCAGAAGGATTTACAATTCCAGGAATGTGAATGCAGTTACATGCCTGCAGCACAGAGCTGAAGTAGAGAGAGCAGCCCAGAGACCCCAGAGACCCCAGAGACTGTCAGAGTCCCCCATGTGCATCCGGTTGAGTACTGCTCAGCACATGTGAGGAAATTATTGAGTCTGGGGACAGGACCACCTGAGAGGCCATGATGCTCACTGCAGGAGAGTCATGGTGCTACTCTTACCAAGTAGAATGGAAAACTTCATGACTCAAAGAGCATCTAATAGATTGCCCAGAAGGTGTTTGTCTACATAGATGGATAAAATTAGCCTTAAACTAAACTCTGCTCCATTCTCATATAACAAAGCTTAGCAGTAAGCCCTTTAGCTTAATTGTATCCCAGAGGGAAGCCCAAGAATAATCTGGCATTCTCCAAAAATTATCAGAAACGCAGAGAAGCAGAAAAATCTATAATAAGGGTGGAAATGAGGATAACAAGGCATGCAAAACTTCTCTAGGTGACAGATATGTTTATGATCATAGTGGAAGTGATGGCTTGTTAGATGCATTTGTAGGTCAAAATTTACCAGAATGTATACACTAGTCATGTGTAATTTATGACACAGTGTACTCATTATTAAGTAATAAATCTATTATTAAAAATATCTTCTATAAAAATAGAGGCAAAGAAGTAGAAACTACAACTCTTTCAAGTAGGTTTTTTTTTTCATAGAAGATGATAGAATGAGGCAATAGGTGGAAGATACAGAATAAACAAATGTTCATGTATTTTTACTGTGTTGCAGAAATGACAGTATTGAAAATTTACAATTTGTAGGAATTAGTAATTGAGTAAACACAAAAGATGGAGAATTAGATAGCATAGGAGACATTAAAGTATCAGATTGGAAATAGACATTGAAAGATCACCACAAAGCACCAAACACTAGAGTAGGGAAAAGTTTATTGTAGGCCAACAAGGCTGCCTCTCCCTACACAAGAGAAACAGCAGTATGCACTAAGAGAAGAAGTCTTGTATAGCTTAGCAGAGATAAGGAAGTAAGAGAAATAAATACCATTGGGTGGGGTGAAGGCAACACCTGTGGCTGGGTTGTTTGGTCACCTGATTTCTGGTAAACCATGCTGGACTTAGGAAACTGAAGCTTATCTCAGAGAAACTGAAACTTATCGTACAAGATGGCAACTGGGCCAGAGCCTAAGATGGCGCCTGAGGCCTAAGATGGCTCCTGAGGCCTAAGATGGCACCTCAGATAAGAAGTTGCTGGCTATAATAACAGACCTTCCTAAGTTTAATTCACTGTTTTAGCATTGATACTGACCCTAGGTTCTTGGACTCCTCTGAAATGGAAGCTGATGAGAGGCCAATGTGTAACTTAGACAAGGTTTATTGGGAACTTATGCTCAAACACAAGGGAGACAGTATGATAAGAAGACATTCTATAAAGTTCCACTAACTGGCTCAATGAGGGAAGCTGGGCAGGTTTTGTTTTTTTTTTTTTTTTTTTTTAATATGGTAAAGAGAATGGGGGCACCCCCTTGGCACAAGGTTTTTTGGACTCTACCCAGTCTTGTGTTCTAGCTCATCCCTCTCTGCATATGACACTTTGATTTCACTCAGCCTGGGATTCTGTGCAGGCACTGTTGTTTTTCTTGCACAAGACCTGCTCAAAATGGCAGTGTTGCTCATAACCACCGGCCCAGGAAGGTCACATATGATTTGCATTGGACTCCTCTCAGCATGCGCTCAAGCAGTAAGGGGTGTATTATAGCCAGGGGCCTGGATGTTCCTTGTTCTTAAGTGATATGGAACAAGAGATGAATGCATAGTCCATCTGGCAGGGGCTTTATTTTGTGAGTCCCAATTTTTACTGATCTCACCATTTTATCATTGTGAAGCTGTGCAAACTGCTTATGACCATAAATTTTTTCCTCTATAGATGAGGACAATAGCAATATCTACCTTTCAATGTATTTGGAATGTTAAAAAATCCTAAACATGTAATCAAGACAACCAGTAAGCCCTTATAGGCATAAAGCATAATTAACCTTTCGCTTTCTCTGGACCATATAGATAAAGAAAAATGTCTCCTTTTCATTGTTTTTCTTATGCAATCACAGGTTAAAAGTTCACGAGTTTTGCAAAAATTTTATTTTATTTTATTTTTTTTTAAGATTTTTTATTTATTTGAGAGGTAGAGTTATAGACAGTGAGAGAGAGAGACAGAGAGAAATGTCTTCTGTCTGTTGGTTCATTCCCCAAATGGCTGCAATAGCCAGAGCTGTGCTGATCTGAAGACAGGAGCCAGGTGCTTTTTCCTGATCTCCCATGCGGGTGCAGGGGCTCAAGGACTTGGACCATCCTCCACTGCTATCCCAGGCCATAGCAGAGAGCTGGAGTGGAAGAGAAGCAACTGGAACTAGAACCAGCACCCATAAGTGATGCCGGCGCTGCATTAACCCATTAACCAAGTGAGCTATGGGACCGGCCCTGTAGAATAATTTCTTAATTTTGTCTAAGATTCTGTCTCCAGCCATATCCCAAACAGTTTCCACTCTGTTCACACATGTTGCTCCTCCATGTAGCTCACTGTATCCTGAACCCCATCAGCTCGGTTTTCAGAACTTTGAAATATTATAATCCTTCATTTCTCCTGGAACATATTTTTCTCTCTCTGCTATCTCTACTTTTTCTATTCTGTCCCCACGCTTGATCAATAATCAATTTATTTTTATGGGGTCAATCAAATTTCTACTAATTCTTCAAATATTTGTTTTATGAAACATTTTACAAGATGCACAACCGCTTCAGCACCACCCCCATACACCAAATTCTCTGTCCACTATAACCTTTTATTCCACTGATGTCTTAAAATCTGCATGTCCTTTGGCCTTGCCAACAAAAATAGTGTTATACCTTTACAAAAAGAAACAAATACCAAAATCCAGACCTCTTCTTTCCCCCAATCCCATTTCTCACTTTAACATCATGGAATTCTGTCATTTCTAAGGATCTCACATTTGAGAAAATGAAAAGCAACACTTTTATCCAACAGTTATCATAGAACTCTGATGTTGATGCTGAAACTTCTGCAGTGTTTCCAACAGGACACTGACAAGACCAAGAGAAAACAAATCATGTTTCTAATAGGTCCTGTCCGAGATCACACTGAAGTTGCTACTCAGTGACTGCTGTTTTCTCACTAACTCCTGCAACCCACATAGTTCATCTCACCTTCTGGTCAGAGATTACCAAGAAGCCCAATGACTGAAGGCCTCCTCCTCATCACAGTATGGCCAGAGAAGCTTCCACATCTCTAATCCCTTCTTAAATAATTCAGCACAATCCTGAACCCTATTAGAAATTCTTGCCATTTCTTCTGTGATGCCCTATAGTTCCCTACCATTGAATCCCCCTTGGTAAGCAAGCTAATGGCATATATAGGCATGTATATATTATATTATAGCTATAATACATATATCTATATCTTCCTGTGTATAGGTACACACCTGAGGGTTTCTGAATGGTGAACTTTAACATATTCCAGTTAATCCCTCCACTAATCTTTCAGGGAGAGTTGGCAAAAAAGCAACATTGGCTAGGAAGCTGGAGCTATGATTTTCACATTTGGACTCTGCTGCTCCTACCCTAAGGTGTTCCTCTATGTTGCCCATATGGCTCTTGTCCTTTGGTCATTTTTATTTATTCAAGTTCCTGTCCTGTCATAGAAGCAGGACAACACCCACATCTCAAAGCCAGCTCTTTTCCGGCATGTTTTAGCAGCTACATTGTTAAGGTATTGGTAACTTGATTCCTTCTATTTTGCTCATCCTTGTGCTTGGCAGGCAAAGCAGAGGGCAAAGGAGAAAGTGGTGCAAGAGCAAAGGCAAGGTACTCCTGGAAATCCAGTTGCCAAGTCCGAGCTGTTGGGTTGGGCATGTTCTTTACTTGTGGGGATTTCATTCAGAGCCCCCATCCCATCTGGCTCCCATGTGGCACCCCAAAATGTAGTTAAATGTGTACATGTTGAGAATTTAATTAGCCAAATTCCTTTTCTGCCTGTTGGATATTGCAACCAAGAGTTTTTCAACCAAGTAGAATTTAATTAAAAAGGGAACTTGGCAACAGGGACAGAGAAATCTGAAACTGTTTTCTCATCTTGGTTTCTTTTTCAGATGATGGCACAGGAAAGCTGACATTGTCATGCTGTATTTGGAGTGGACCATACCACCAGGAAACCAGATAAAGTTGCCAGAAACCAGAGTCAGAGTTTTATACCTTCCACGTACCTGGAGCAAAAAGGGCCCTGCAGCTACCCATTTTCTACATCCTGATCACTCCCCAAACACTTGCTATGAATGCCCTGGCAAACTTCTTCTCAGGAGGTTGTTTCTTTAGAGAACTCTGTGTTCCCATGTCTCCTTCACTTGCCACAAATAAGTAAAGCTTCCTACTGAGCCATTCCTGCTTTCAGCTGATGTTTTGGTGACACCCAAATGAATAGACTCTCATCTCTGCTAGCAGGATCATTGTGCTTTAGCAAATCAACAAATGTGATTGACCATATTTTACAGGACCCTAAAGATTCTGGGAAAAAGTTCCAGAATATTCTTATAGGATGCTTTTCTGCCCAGAGCACACAGAAAACCTTTCTAGTTTATATGACCTAAACCTTTATTTAAACCAACTGGAATTTTATCCCTATTTGTATAATCCAAAACACTATCCTTTAACAGTGTAACAGTGAATCTTATATTAATTCTTATTTTACATTTTACCTGTATCCCCCATGGGATATGAGTGTCCTGAGAAGAGATGTTGGTCTTGTTCATCTCTGGGTGAATATTTGTACAGTGTTCAACACAGAGTAGACTCTCGCTGGGACTATAAATGAAGCTATATATAAGAAAGAACATACCTTGGGATATTCAGTAAATTTCCTTAATATATGCTTTACTCAGAGAGATAAACTATTATTTTACATTACATTTTATAGCTACTAAAATTGGTTTACTTCTTAATATTCTAATTGGTCAAATTATTTAAGTGGAACCTTTAACATGTGACTTTAATGATGTGACTTTGTGTCCATTTCCCCACAAAAGGCATTTATGTCTGCCCAATAGACATGCACATATGCCAAAAGATTGTTCTGGCACATCAACAATAGTGACAGGTTCCTTTATCTGTGTCCCCTGATTCCTAAATAACACCAGTAAATTCAGGGAGGATCCTAACTACCTTAGAACTCAAATGTGGAGGATGGCACTGTGGTGTGGTATGCCTGTGGCACTGGCATCCCATATGGGTGGTGGCTTGAGTCCCAGCTGTTTCACTTTTGATCCAGCTCCCTGCTGGCTGCCTGGTAAGGCACTCCAGAATGGCCCAAGTGCTTGGGCTCATGTACCCACATGGGAGACCCAGAGGAAATCCCTGGCTCCTGCCTTTAGATCAGCCCAATTGTGGCAATTTGGGGTATAAACCAACGGATAGAAGATCTTTCTCTCTCTTCCTCTCCCTTGCTCTATCTAATATTCTGCCACTCAAATCAATACATAAATTTTAAAACCCTCAAATGCGCCTCTTTAATCAATTAAAAAGTCTATTTCCTTTATTTCAAAGCAATAAATTATAATAGTGATAAAGTATTTTGCCAACACGATTACCATAATATCATGTCATAATCCAGATAATATTTTGCATATATATTGTTGTATCACTATGTGTACTCATACTAGCAGAATTTCTTGTGGTGTTTAATATTTTTATCTGTATTTAAAGATGAAGATACTATGGTACAGAAAGATCGAATGATTTTCTTTGGATTAGGCAGCTGGTGAATTGTGTAGTTTAGCTTCAGCATGTGTGCATTTCACTGCTCTCCTGTCACTTTATGTGCCCTGTATAGGCTTTCTAGGAAATATTGTAAAGATGCCCCTACCATAGTGCCCATAACAGAAGGTCTTTACCTCAAGGGGGAACGGAGCAAAGTTTGTCATGGACATTCTTGATGATGTAGTGCAGTTTTAGAATACAACTCATGTCTTACTTCAGCAACATCTGCCATTGCATTTGTTTTAGCTTACTTGTCACTAAGGTAACTTTTTATTATAAAAATCTTCAACTATATAAATGGAGAGTTATTTCCCTCAATTTTTTCTAGGAAACCAGGATGCATAAAGTAGTGGATACAAGACTCCTCAAATAAGACATCTCCCTTATGTGGGAGCAATATAACCTGTCTTTTGGAAGGTTTGCAATAATCGAAAGAAAGTGCTCTCAGGTACAAGGGCAATATTATCTGCAAAATAATTTTATTTATAATTAGTGGACTTAATTTAGGATTAAGATAGAATTTATATTAAAAAATCTAGTTGTGCAACCTACATCAAAAGGCACCCAAGCCTACGCCAAAAGGAAAAAAAAAAAAAAAAACTAGCTTTTGCTACACATGCAAATCAGCCATTTCAAAGAGTATATGTGTGCCTACTTTTTTATGAAATTATAAAATACGTAACTTCTGGGAGGAAAATAATAGTCAACTATTCTGTATAGCATTAGTATGGGAAAACATCAAAGGGAAAATGGATAACTATCAGGCTTTATTTCCATCAGGAAAATTATTGTGCACAACTATTCATAATTCAAGCATTTTCAAAAATAATATTTAATATTTAAAGAAAAATGCTAGTCAAGGTTCTGCAAGTTTTCTCATGCATTATTTACTTTCAAGAGACAGGAAGAACTACACTATAAAATAAGAAAATGAAAAAGGCCTCCCCATCTCACAAAGTTGGACTGTTTTGCTCTTTTATTTGTAAAATATATTCTTAAGATGGTAAGATGCTGAAATACATAGAATAGTGTGTCAGAATAACTCTTCATTAGAATCTAAACAAATGGGGTTTTATGAATGTCTATGAATCAGCGGAGTTAAAATATCCTGGTGTTTAACTCATCATTGAGATCAGAATCTAACTTGAGGAGTTCAAACTTGGATTGTGAAGTGGCAAATTATGGCAATTTCTCAGGTAATTTGAAGCAATGCAATGTTTTTCATCTACGCTTCAGGAAAGTACTAAACAGCACAAAAGTATGTTTCATGTTGGGTTACTGAAGAAAGTTTAAATGAACCTAAGACTCAGAATAAATTCCAGACAGAATAATGTGTTTCTAGCATTCAATATGTTTATAAAGACCAATTTTATTACTGAAATGCATTTATATTGAGGGTTTGCATAATGTTTATTAAACCCAATTGGAGATGGAGTTAAAAGTTATAAAAATAATTGCATAAAGATAGGTAATTTAAGTTCTTAAACATCTCATTTTTACCACTTGTTCACTGTATTTGAAACTCAAAATCTCCTCTGCTTTGCTTGAGATTCTATTCATTTAAACCTGTCACTTTTGCCTCCAACATCTTCATTAATGTGTTATTAACTCTGGAATTTAACCTGAATTCCATAGTAAAACTTGTGTTCTTCTCTATCTCAAAGAAAGCCTTTAAAATTCCTGGTATAGATGACTGTTTCTTGAAATAACAATACTGTCTTCCCCTATCCTTGATAGGGACCTACATATTAGGATGTCTTCTGAAACTGTGCCTGTTGTGTTTTCTGAGCATAGACTTACTTAAAAAGGAAGTCAGGAATGGGGAGAATAACTGAATTTGCTACATTTTATTTATGAGAACATAAATATGATTTATGGTTTCATGAAGTAGACAAAGAGTTTCAATGTTGCCCTTGAATCTTGGGTCAAGAAATGGTAACCACATATATTCTTTCTTGTCACACATATCAATGAAAAGTGGTTTGTCAGCCCAATGTCATTGCATTGTATTTCATTTGTGACCATTACACAAAATGGTGTATTTGTTTGTTTATGAAAAGAATTAGCTGATTTTGATTTGCAGTATTATATTTGAATCCCTCATTGAATGCATGAAATGTCCATGTTGATCCTATCTATTTTCCCTCCTTCTTTCTTCCTTTCCTCCCTCTCTTCCTTCTTCCCGCTTGCTTGCTCGCTCTTTCTCTCTCTCTCTCTTCTTTCTTTCTTTCTTTCTTTCTTTCTTTCTTTCTTTCTTTCTTTCTTTCGCCAGGCAGAGTTAGACAGTGAGAGAGAGAGAGACAGAGAGAGAGTTATAGACAGTGAGAGAGACAGAGAGAAAGGTCTTCCTTCCGTTGGTTCACTCCCCTAATGGCCGTTATGGCCGGCGTGCTGTGCTGATCCGAAGCCAGGAGCCAGGTGCTTCCTCCTGGTCTCCCATGCAGGTGCAGGGACCCAAGCACTTGGGCCATCCTCCACTGCACCCCCAGGCCACAGCAGAGAGCTGGACTGGAAGAGGAGCAACTGGGACTAGTACCCAGCACCCCAACCGGAACTAGAACCAGGGGTGGTGGTCCCACACATGGAGGATTAGCCAAGTGAGCCATGGTGCCGGCTGTCCCTCCCTCTTTCTTTCCTTCCTCCTCAACCTCCCTCTTTTCTTTCTCCTCCCTCCTTCCACCATTTCAGTTTCCATCTGTGTATATCTTGGTTTATGAGGTGTGTTTTTTGCAAACAGCGTATATTGATCTCATTTTTAAAACCCATTCAGGTAGCCTGTATTTAACTAGGGAATTTAGTCCATTTACATTCAAGGCTATTATTCATAAGTAATTAGTTATCCTGCCAATTTTCCATAAATATTCCTTTTTTTTGATTCCCCCTTGTACTATCACTCGATTTTTCTGCCTTCACATCCTTTTATGATGCTGATTATCTTTCTCTCTTTCTGTGTGTATCACATCCTTAAGAATCATTTGCAAGACTAGGCAGATGGTGACACATTCTTTCAATTTTTTTTTTCTGAGTCGATGTTTATTTCACCTTTATTTATAAATGAGAACCTTTCTTGGTACAGTGTTCTTGGTTGAGTTTTTTTTTTTTTTTTCTGAGTCGATGTTTATTTCACCTTTATTTATAAATGAGAACCTTTCTTGGTACAGTGTTCTTGGTTGAGTTTTTTTTTTTTTTTCTTTAGGGGCAAGGGTTATTTCTCTCCATTCTCTCTTAGCCTGTAGGGTTTCTGATGAGAAATATTCTGTCAATCTAATTGGAAGTCTTTTAAAGGTAATTAGATTTTCTCCCTTGCAAATTTTGGGATCATTTCTTTGTGTTTTTCTTTTGAATGTTTGAATATAATGTGTTGTGGTGAAGATCTTCTCCAGAGATTTCTTTTTGGGGTTCTATATTTTTCCTGTACTTATATTTCCATATCTCTCTCCATATTAGGGAAATTTTCTGCTATTATTTCACTGAATAAGTTTATAAGCCATCCTGTTTTCCTATCCCTCACAAACTCCTAAGAAATATATTTTTGGTTGTTTTATGATGTCCCATATATCCTGAACACTGCTCTCAGTTTTTCTAATTTTTCCTTCTTTGTTCTGTCAGACTGAAACATTTCAAAA